TGAAGAAAGACTGGTCAGTTGTCTGTTCTAGTTGTTTTGGTGGTCTCTTAGATACTTCCTGGCATAGCAGAAAATATGAGTTAGAACTAAAAAATAACAATTATGAATTCAATGCTGGTGTGCAAGAGATCCTCACCATTTTGAACTCTTTCTGGATCCTTTTGAGGTCAGCGATATACGCCCCGCTAAGGGTAGTTGAAGCCCTTCCCATCTAGGCAGGGGAGCAACAACTTTCAGTTGGAGTGAGGTTACATGTGATGGTTTGCAGAGAAGACAGTGGGGCGACTTAATGAGAAAGGCATTCAGAAAGTAACTTATTGCAAGTCTGATGTATTAAGAAATGAATAAAAGGAGGAATAAAAGTGAAACATACCACATGGAATATGGTTTGTGAAGTAATGAATGACAGGCAAGAACTTGTATGAAGATGTCCAATGGAGGAGGTGGCACATAAGAAACCCAATCTGTTTTCCTATTTGGGGGTGATACAACTTAAGAAGCCCCTAATCTAATTACTGTTAGTTCTAGCTGTTCATTCATGCTTGTCTTGCAGCACTGAGGATTTGTACTATTTGACAGTAAGGAGGGAGGACGGATGCACTGAAAAAAGAGTATCTGTTTCATAGGAGTTTTTTTTTGGTTTTGTTTTTTTTTTTTGTAAAAGGAGTTTGATGGAGTATGGCAGGATATCACTGGCACAAATCAGAGGTAGGGGATCCAGACTGCTGAAGTTAGTACTGAAACCACAGAAACGCTCATGGAACTACAACCTCAAAGGCAGGTGCAAAATGCTTAGTAGAAGTTTTCACTGTATTTGGTTTGTACTTGTTGAATCATGTCTACTTAGATTTAATTTTGTTAGCACCTACAATTATGGAGTCCTGAACCATGGTGAGCCCTTCAACTATTTTCCACAATTTTTTTAAAGACAAATTCAAAATGACAGTATCTGCTTCTCAAACCTACAAGTAATTCTTCACTGATTTGCAATTTACCAGCAAAAATGAAAGAGCAATGTTTCCAGTGAACTAGAAAGCAACGGAATTTTGCTTATAAATAAAGGGAACTTTAATCCAGTTTTTTCTTTCCCTGTAGAATATGAAGGTCTTGTAAACCAGACTGTCCCTTCATTTGCATCTGTGTCTTTCAAAAATATTTTTTTATGCATAACATCCTTGGCAGTTTACAGGGGAGAATTTGGCACACTGGTAGAAATTTAATTTCTCTACATAGGTGCAGATTAGACACATCACTGCTCAGTTTTCTTTCAGCATTTAATAGGTGAGACGTAAGAACAATTTACTGGTTTATTTAGCATATGCATCTCTGAACTAAGAGTAGAATGTCAGTTAGAAAATGCTCATTTGTGTGTATCTATTTTGAAGTAAAATGGCCCCTTCTTTAGGGAATATAGCCATAGTACAACTGCCCAAATACAGCCTGCACAGGTTAGGTAACATCCAGCTTGGGCCAGGCTAAATGACAGGTATAAATCAGTTTGTAGTTTGAACTTTGCTTTCTGTGTAGTTAACAAAGATTTCCTTTAAAAGAAGTCTTGGGGGGTGGAAATAATTCTGAGTGTTTCTGTTTTCTGTTGCTAGTATCACTGCATTTTGGGGCAGTAAGTGGACCAGTGTAGAGTCTGGGTCTTGTGCAGTCCTCTCATCCTTCTGCCTTCCCCCTTCCCCCCAAAAAAAAATCTGTTCAAAGAAAATGTCAAGATTTGGGGGGGGAGGTATGTATTGTTCTTGTGACAGTTTAAATATTACCTTTCTGTAGGATGAAAGTCACGGGAGCCTGCTTTCTCCTTGCAAACTGTAAGCAGAGCTAACCCCTCCTGAGATGCTTTAGAGAAGTGAAGCACAGCTGGGTGTAGGAACTAACTGGATGCTGCCTGACATTTATTGCTGTACTGCAGTTCAGTGTCTTTTAGACATATCTGAGTTGTTCCTCATGCTGTGAAAATGCACCATGCTGTTGTGTATACCAAGAGTTCTTAAGTTCTTAATACACAGTGGTATTTTGACATTCAAAGACTTCTTAAAACTAGGAGGTTTGACATTGTGATAAGCTGATATTGAAGGATAAGCCTCTTCAAAATTTCTTTAAAAAAAATCAAGGAAAAGGATAAAACCAGTTATTTTTTTACCTATGTTATGAGAGATTTATTTTCTTTCCCATTCTGTAGCACCTCCTGGGTCTGCAGCAGCAGGTAGCCTAACAGGCTGCTTCTAAAGCTGTACTTACCTCAGTTGCTGATGGTAGTGCACAGAGACGGACTGTTTTGGTAAGACAAGGCTCCACTGAAGTTACTGCTAATAAGCAAACTAGCTCTGTTCAGTTCAGTCCCATTCAAAACACAGGAGAAGAATCTTTGCCAAAATTGAAAGGCTGAAACTATTACAGAGGATAACAATTATTTATTTCAAGTGAGTGTAAAACATATTTTCAAAATAAACGCTTAAACAACACTTGACTGTTAACCACATATATTAATTGTATTCTCTGTAGGCATGAAATATAGGAAGTGTTCAGCTTTGTATTCCTTCATTTTATTAATGCAGGTTTGTTCTAGCTAGCATTTAATATAAGCAGTGCTTCTTAAGTACCACCTCAGATGCCAGATACAGTGTGCCTTCTCACTCTGAAGTGTTACTCCGTTGTAGCCTAATTTACTATGAGTAAAAGGGCTTGACTCTTCTATTTCCCTAATGCTTAAAAAAAAAAACCCTGAAACCTTGAAGTAGTGGTAGATGTGATTAATTTGACTATTTGGTTTTAAATTGTTGTACCTACACTTCTTTAAACAGAAGCTTATACTAGTTCTTGCAGTAGCGCAATAGTTTTTTTGTATTTCTGTAGCAAGTTGTTTTCCTAGTTTAGTGTGAGTGCTCTGGTGCTGGCTTGATCATCTTCTTTGTAAGCACAGCTCCATGATGTAGTGAGTGATTCTTTTGCAAAGAGTCACTCTAGGGATGTCATATGCTCGAGTTGGATTTTCACATGCTGCTACAGGTGAATCGATGTCCTACAGATATGAAATGTGGACATTCCTCAGCATGTAGTTTGTGGGGTTTGGGGCTTTATTTTTTTAGTACCTTTGAGTACATACTCCTCCTGTACTTACACTGGTCCATGTAAAAACCAAACTGAGCCTAGCCTTGTTTGTGTGTGGTAGAGCTCTGCTCACCTTTTAGAGCTGGAAATGAAATTCAGGGAAGTTCCCTCCTACGAGTGGGTATATTGCTGGTTGAGCTGCCTCTCTTCCGTACCACAGGCAGACTTGCCTCCAACCTGACCTGCCTGCACCCTGAGCTGATGCTGTGCAGGGCACTGTAGCAGCGATTTCTTGCTGGGGTCTTCTCTGCTGTGCTCTAGTCTGGGACACGCTGCTGCCGTCCTCACACTGCTTTTCTCTCCCTTAACGTGTACCTAACCTCTTTTCTCTGCCTTGGTTTAGCTACACGGCTGAGAGAATGACGGTACTGCAATAGGGATTTTTTGGAAATCAGTATAAGCCTTGGGTTTTATACTATTTCATTATGACTCTTCTAATCCTCTGGCTCCTGACTAATTATCATTCAGTCAGAACCCTTATGGCTCCATGGCTGAGGCAGCAATGGCAGGATTGTGTTGATTTGGGGTTTCTTTCCTTTCCTTCTTAAATACTGTGTTAAGGGAGTCTCTGTTGTATGTTCTGGTACCACTATGCAGCAGTGAGATCTGCATCCAAATCTGAGGTGTTCCTATCATATTTAGTATATTTGGCAGATTCCCATAATGGAGCATGTTAAAGAATAAGCAGTCTAGGGAAAACAAAGTTGCCAGCCTTGAAGTAGTAATTCCTAGAAAAAGAGGCTGGTTACACCGTTAAACCCCTTTTACTCTGCATGGAGATACTAAGGAAGGAATTGGGCTGATGGTCAGCTCCATTTATATAGTCAACACTCACTCATTCAAGATTACTTGAGGCATACACAAACATGCTCAAGTCCTTGCAGACTCTCAAGATCCAGCAGGGTTTATTAACTCAGGCTCAGTGCCAAGCAAATACAACTCTGCTGCTCCCAGACCAAGTAGGATGTGCTTTTTTGGCATGGAGTCTGAGCTGTTAAAGCCTGCCAAGCATGAAGGGTGCAGACCTGGGTCCAGTGCTGTTCTCAAATCCAGGAGCTCTGGAAATGCGTTGCATGTGGCTCAGCTTGGAACTACCAGGGCGCATTAGAGCAACAGCAGTTTCAGCCCTGTTAACCTTGGGCTTGCTTCTTTGCTTGTTTTTGTTTTCGTCATCTTTTTAGGACTTTTTTTTTTTTTACAGGTGTGTGTTTTTGTTTTTTGTGGGTTGTTTTTAAACTGTTAACTCTGAGTTCTGGGAAAATGTATGAGCTTGGTCAGCCCCAGGCTCAGCTAACACTTTCTGTGTATGCAGTATGGCATATAAGGAGCATCTTGGAAGCAGACTGCAGAGGCACTGAGCTTGCTGAGCAGGAACCAACTCAGGGCTAGCACTGAGTCAGTGCTGCAAGACTCTAATGACCCTAAACTGACTTTAATTTTTCTGTTCAGTGATTCCCAGCACATTTTGCAGTGGAACAATATACAAATGTTTCCGTTGTGCCCCTTTCTCACAGCCTTCATGGGCTATGATAGTGGAGTGCTGACCACTGCACACGAAGCGTGGAGTTCAGGAGGAGTGCTGCTAGTTAGGGCTCATGTTTTGGTTTTGTGGAGTACATATCCATGGTACATACACTGAGATTACGTTTAATAACTGCGGTTGTCATGAGGGTAATTAGCTTTTCTGTTTGGATTTGAAAATACCTTCTGGAAAAACTGCAGTGTGCTTGGAGTAAGTCAAAATACTTTTAAGACTATATGCTTGATAGTCTGTGGATTGTTACAGTACTTGAAATTAAATTTTTCTCACAAAATTCACAAATGTTTGCTTACTTTTTCCAAGCAAAAAGTCATACAGCTCTTCTGGGTTTTTCCATATGCAGGTGCAGCTGGGACAAGCAGATATAAAATGCCCGATCACAGAGTGCAGCGAACACCTGGATGAAACAACTGTCCTCTATAACCTGCCCCATGACGACATCATCAAGTATAAATATTTCCTGGAACTCAGCCGCATTGACTCCAGCACCAAGCCATGTCCTCAGTGCAAGCGCTTTACAACCTTCCGGAGGAGAGGCCACATTCCTACCCCTGCCAAATTGGAGAACAAATACAAAGTGAGCATGCTTGCCAGGGCCATGGGTTAGATGGTACCACAGAAGTAGGACAGCATTTGGTGGGCAGTAAAGAGCTTTCTTGCATCACTGGGGTTCTGTGCAAGCTGTGATTAGGAATGTGAATCTGTAGTACATCATGGATTAACAACTTAATTCATTTTTAACAGTTGAAACAGTTGAACTTCAGTCCTTATTTCTTTGGCAGGTGGTGTAATTTTATCCTGACGCACAATTTAAAGAGTGTTTTCTCTCTGACATGCAAACAATATGGTCAGGATCAGAAGAGACTGGGGAAGGGAAGTTATCACTGTAACTGATAATTTTAGACATACAACTCCAGCAAAGATAAGTTTTTGCTGAAACTCTGAACAAATGAATTCTGGGCATTTGTGGTGCTAGGCTATTTGTTTGCTTCTTCCTTAGGACTAGAGCTCTTGTCCAATCCACTTCTTGGTTTTGATTTCTTCAGTCCCTTTCAAGAGGTTATAGGTTACTCTAGCCTTATCACTCACAGTACAGAAAACTTGAGAAACAGGAAAAACTTCCCTTTTACAGCATTTCTTTTAGTAGAAGATTTGCTTATACTGTGATTTCAATCAAAGATAAAAAGCAAGAGGTTACAGTTAGAAGCTTTGAGCTGCTGAAGGTCCATCTCAGTTCCAGAAGACGAAGGTTCTGTCTGCAGCATCATGCTCTCTGTGTTAGTTTTCCATCCGGTTATTAGATTTGTTGTGGTTAATTTAATGATTGAGCTGTCCTTTCCTGGACAAACCAGTTCTCCTCAGTAGGAGTTTAGATGGCTGGTTAGATAGCCCTAATTACACAGCATAAGATTCAGCCCAGTATGGAGATTAAGAGGTAGAAGGTTGTGTATCCAGTGGAGCTGAAACCATGATAAAGCTAACTCTGAGTTATGAGCTACTTATGTATATCTGTGCAGTGCATGAATTACATGCCACAATGTCTGTTGGACTCAACATTTTCAGATTTTTTTGGCATGTTACACGGAGGTGGAGAAATTCAAAACTACAGGTAAAATTCCTTCTGCCCACAGCCCTTCTCCTTCACCTGCCCGCTTAGCATTCCCTCAGGTGTAGACAGGATGTGCAGTCCAAAGTAGATCAGATGTTGTAATGCTCTGCAGCAGCCTCTCTTAAGGCACCAGAGGCTGTAACTGCCTCACTGATGTGGGTCACAGGTGGTGCAGCTGTTGTATCGTGGGATGCAAACTCTGACTGTTCCTCAAGGCACAGAAATGAGTTGTTCTGCCCACCAGTGCTCTTCTGTGAGTTAAAATGCTATAGTTAAAGTGTTCCCACCACTTCCCTACAAATCATAATCAGAAGGAATGGGAGACTGGGTGATCCATGAAATAGTGCAAGACAGAAGCAGTTCCCTGGTCCTGTGGTGATGCATTATGTGTAGCTCTGATCTGTAGAGCTCAAGTCTTCTCCTGGGGACAGACTCTGGCAAAATGTGTCCTTTGACCTGTGGTCAGGCATTGGCTGGAAGAATGTCTAGTTGATGCTGGTCAGAAATGTAATTGGGAAAGTGCTAGCAAACAGCATGATCACAGATCCAGGGCTTCAGCCTGCTCCCTGAACCTGTGTTGTTTTCTGCCGTAGGTACAGTTTTAGTGACTTGTTTTAAGCTTAGCACAAGAAAGAGTTTTGCTGTAGGGATAAGATTTAAAACGAAGACTATATGTGAGATTGTGTATATGTGAGTAGTTACATACACACATAGCTGTGGACCGTTAATTATCTTAGTTTTCTTGGACTCTCATGGTTGTTTGCATGGTAGCTTGCCTGTGCCTTGAATTATAGGCTCTTTGGATGTATAGACTCAGTTTCTTTTGCATATAGCATAAGAAACATCTGACTGGAGACTGGAAGACTCACATATTCACGTGCAAGCTATATAAACAGCAGTTGCCCAGAGGAATTCTGCACAAGCACTGGAAGTACTTGCCTTTAGAAGAACTGAGTCATGCATGGGGAAAGTCTACCCACAAATAGGATCACTGCACAGAAGGGCTCAGTGCCAGTGTCCTCGCTCTCCTATGCACTGCAACAGGAAAACACTGTAAAATCCAAGAGTACTTTTAAACAGATACTGTTGAAATGTTATTAATGACATTCATATATATATATTTAAAATTATAAAGAAACTTAACCTCTAAATTTAAAGAAGTAGCAAAGTTATTAGATTACTCTTCCTTACTATAGCTGTTTTACATCAGCTAAGCTGTTCAAAGCCCAGCAGTTTAGTTTTTCAGTTTTGAGATCGAAGTCTCAGTGTGCTAAGCCTAGAAAGTTAGCTGGTGCATATATGTTGAGAGCGAAGGAGGGGAAGAAAAGGGAAACTTGCTGTCCAAACCTTTCTTCTCCCATTAGTGCCACTTAGGACAGCACAGTACAGCAGTGTGACTATTTAGTTACCTATATCAAATATTTGTGTCACAAATGGATCCACCTTTAAGTAATGAAATACCACTGCGCCTTGTCTTATGACCTAAATTGGGAGTGTAAGACTTGGGTGTAGACAAGATCCTAATAAACCTTTTGGTCAAAGCTGGTATGTCAAAGTGCAAAGGAAATGGACAAAAATTGGAGAAATTGGTAGTTCAGTTCCTATGCATGGAACAGATGCAGATTTTACAAGAGAGTATGTCGGCTTGTTCTACTGAGGGATTTGGGGTTGGTTTTTTTCTTTTTTTGAAGGGCAGGCGTCCCCCATAAGCCTTGGATTTTACTGGTTTTTTTGATGTTAGCTCTTTGACCAGCCACCTGCCATGAAGAAGCCGTTCTTGATTCTTGGACTCTATTTCTGCCCTATCAACCTGTGAGGTTCGTAATGAAGTTTTCTTGTTCACTTCTGTCAAGAGATACACACATCACATAGAGGAAGGGCTTGAGTTCCTCGCTTTGGAAATGTAAATTTTTTTTCAGTGCAGTTGTTATATAAACTCTTTTGTTTGAGCTACTCAAGAGTTTCTGAAACTGGTTGCTCTAGAACTTGTAGGAATCTATACCTGCAAAGATACTGTGATAGAGTGGAGCTATGTAGTTCATATCAATCCATTCCTTCCTTTTTGGATTACATTTTAACCTTGACTAGCAGATATCTTCATGGCTACATGTCCCTTCAATCTGCCTCAAGCCTGAACTGCTGCAGACATAGTGATTTTGCCATGCTCTTCCTCTTTGCTCTCAGCTGTTTATTCCTGCCAGCTTGCTTTTGCTCATGTTGATGTTTTGGTGTCACACTGTGAGCTGGATCAAAGATCAGCTCCAATGGGATACAGTATTTGTTTGGTTTGTTGTTGCTTATTTTCAGCTGGTATAAGAGAGGGCATGGGTTGCTGATGAGGAGGAGGCAGCCGTTTCGCAGGAGCCCATATTTTGCAATAAAGTGACTCTGTAGCTAGAGATTGTAATTCCTGTAATTAGTTAGTTGAACTGTTTTGGCTATCCTGTTGTATGGCTAGCTTTCCACGAAACAGCAGAAAATCCCACTGAGTTTTTCACAGCTTCAGGCTCTCATAGTGTTTTTAATGTGCAGTCAGTGATGCTATCATTATCTCACATCGAGCAGTGTTTTGTGTTGCTGTTACCTACCAGTTTTGAAGGATCTTTTCCTGGGAGGTAAGGAAAATTATAGTTAGAATAGTTTGCAGTGAAGAGGCTAGCTAAGAAAATGCAAAATGTTAGCCTCAAAGGTCAGTGTTTCAGAAAGTTGAGAACCAAAAGGTTTAGTATGAGAAGTTGTGTGATCTTTTCTATTTCAAGGGAGACTGACCTCCAGATGGCATAGAAGTTTGTGTATATATCCATCTTCTTCATTCAGATTGACTGAAATTAAAAATAGTACAATAAATGGAAAAATATATGTGTGAGGAAGAACATATTTGAAAAACACTACATTAATGTTTTGTGTTTTTTCAGGTATAGTTTGTTTGCTTTGCTGGACTATAATATATTTTACTGTTTTAAGTTATATGTAGACAGCATGTTTGTGTCTTCACTGTGGTGATTTCATGCACTAATACTGAAGGTTAAAACAAATCCTATTTTACTTTTTTTCTTTCAGAAAAGCAGAGAAAAAATGGAATAAGAATATGAAAGACTGCTGTAATTGCCCTTTTGTGTTCCTATTTCTTAAGCACACTGGTGTCACAGTGCATCCAAGTTTGCATAGGTTTAGGGTTTTGTTTTGCAGCCACTAGTTCCAGGACAAATAAGGTTCATAAGTACTTAACATACTTAATGTGTGTTCAAATAGTATTGAACAACAGAGAAGTTAAGTGACCCATTCAGAACATGAAAACTATTTACCAGTTCAATTTTGTGGAAGGTGCTGTCAGGGCAGCAGGTAGAAGAGAACTAGGAACTCCAAACCTGGTAATGAGGTAGACAGTTCCCACTAGTTTACTTCAGTTAGTCAGGGCCATTCATGGTAACAAATGTTATTCTGAGTTCATGTGGCTATAGCCTCATCCTGTATTTCAGTACTTGATAAGTGATGTATTTGGAAACATGTCAGTGTGCATGTATAAGATTAGATATGTATCGGTGGCTGCTATATTTCTTGCAATTGTATACATGCTATAATAGAGTTTGCAATGAATTTTGGTCAAATTTTCACCCCAAAAAACCCCAAAACCAAACCCATAAAACTTGTGTTTTAAATTATGTTGACATTTTGTTTAAGAAAGAAACTTTAATTTGCAGATTCCCAGATCTGTTGGTTTGGGTTTTTAACATTCATGTTCCATCTAAAATGTCTGAATCCTGCAACTGATGAAAGCTTTAAGGTTGCAGAACACTTAATTGTGGCTAGAAGCTTCATCTTTGGTTGAGATGAAAATATGATTACTGAGTAATACAATGCAATGCCTGCTATAATCTATCTCCCCAGCAGTAGGTCACTGTGACATACATTATTGAAATAAGTAAATTCAAAGCTTGGGCAGGGAGGGAAGCAGAAGTGCAGGATAATGTATTTCCTTTGGTTTAGTATCTGGGCTAGTAGACAAATAAATCAGAGGAAGGGCACCCGTTATATTTTGTATTCCTTTTGGTAATAATATAATAATAATGTTTGTAATCCGCATATTGCAGCTTTCATTTTTTTTTACAAACAAGTTTCATTTGCTGTTCTTTCCTGGTTTTGTGCTGCCTACCTGTGTTTTCAGTAACTTATTTAATTGACAGGAAGCATGTGATAAGTGCAGTTTTCTTCTGTGTAAGGTATCTTACTGTGTGCCTTAGCAAAAATGTCACTTCATAGCTATAGAAAGCAGTAAGTCATACTTGCACTGGGTACAGGATATCAGAATTTCATCCATTTTAATATTGCACTCTCTTAGAATCTGCTTGATAAATGTATGTATGCTAACACTTCAATGCACGTACGATTTTTTTTTTTTACAGCAATAAGGACTAGAAGATGGTAGCTGACTAAAATGTTAATGCGTTGTAATAAGAAGAAAATACGCCAACTTCTTGATACTGCTTCACTCCTTTGCACTTTGGTTTTGTTCCCAGGCAAGGGATTCTGGAGGGGAAAATGCTGTCTTATGAGTAGTGAGGAAATTATTAATTCTTTTGACTGTTAACTCCCATTCTTGCACTTGCTGATCTGTAGATGTGGATTGGTGTAAAAAGGTATGGTGAAGTAATGCATTGGGCAACACATCATACAGTCCACTGTTAAAGGTAAAATATTTGCTTAAACAGTGCTCCACAGGCAGAGGTACATCACTTTATACAAATGAAGCTATGACTGTCACATGCTGCTGCCCTGTAAAAGAAAAAAACATTTGTTCTCTACAGATGAAGTTAAAGACAACCACTGAAAAATGGGTCATCTAGGGTTATAAAGATGCCCAGCTTGAGCCATTGTGTCAATTAGGTTTTTAATGTGAAATATTAAAAAAACTGTTATCTCTGTGGGGAATAGCATTAAAGGTAGCAGGCGGCTTCATTTCTTGGTCATGCATCTGAGATCAGATCAGCTTTGTATTAGCATGCTGGTAGTGACAGATGTAGGAATTACACACGTAAATAATAATTTTGGCTGCCCCCCAGCAAAATACTTAAGGGAGATCAGAGCGCCTAGTTTGGTCTCTTAACTGAAGAGGAGGCAGTGTACCACCAGTCGGGTGTCTGAGCAGAGGGCACAGTGACTGGTGGGAGTGAGGGCTTCAGAAATACATTTTGGGTGCTTCACATGTGACTATACAATAGGATGTAGTTTCCTGAACAGCACTCCCACACCATGCATGGCCAGCACAGACACGGCTGTGGTTCAGTGGTGAACCAGGTTTGGACACAGATAAAACCAAAGAGCCTTTTTTTGGCTGGTTGAATTCCTCAGTCCTGTCCATAAGCTGGTACAAAGCCAGAGCAGTGCAAGGTGTGGGCTGCAACTGGAGCTGGTGGACAGGGCTTGGCAGTCACTCGAGAGGTGTGCCTTCCTGCTTCTCGGGCTGAGACATCTTGCTGCCAAACACGGCAGAAGTGAAGATGTTGCAGGAGCAGATATGCCTATGTTTAATGTGGATTCTGGTTCTTGCTTTCCTTAGTCACAATCCAGGTAGGAGGCCTGTCTTTCATCAGATAAGCACCTGCAATGTGCCTGTATTTATTACTTCTACAAACACAGCAGCTACCATAGTGTTTTTTCAAAAAAATATCCAGGCTTTGGAGGAAGACATGACGATGATGGTACCTTTTTGATCCAATGATTTAAAACCCAGGGAGTCAGAAGAACAGATCCTTACTCAATTTAAGGAGCTTGGCTTGCATTTTTGGCCGTTAGGTGTGGTCTGTAACAAGTGGGCGTTTTGGCACAGCCACAGCTCACCGTTAAACAATGAAGAGCAAAAGGAGGTATGTGACTTCCAGGTTGTAGTTGTGGCATTAGGTTGAGACCCTTGCACTGGGCCCCTTCTCCCAGGACCACTTCTAATTTAAGCTTCATAACCCATTCTGATCTCTGTAGAGCCCCTTCAGAAGACCAGGTACTCCCTGGTGATAGCCTTGGCAGTGGAATTTATAACTAGAAGACTGTAAACTGGCTGCTAATTTTTAGGTGATCTCACACATATATTGGGGCAACTGAATAAGCTTCCTGGATTTTGTCTTTTGGCATTTGAGCCATGCGGTGAATTTTGGGCGGCAGTTCGTATGCTTGGACCAAGCTACTTGTGCACTGTTTGATTGGGGCCTTTCCTGGCTTTCGCAATTAGTTTTGTATTCTCTCTTTTTTAAAAGAAAAAGAACAAGTTAGCTTCCACAGCTTCTTGTGTTTTTAAAACTGACACTTCAAACGATGTTAGACTTTTGCTGGGCAGGTACTCTCTTAATTTAAGAGCAGTGGTTTTAAAACAGACTTTCCAGGTGGTTTGGTGCCCACCTTGCAAACGTGTGTTTTCTTATTTATACAGATCCAGTGTCCATCTTGCCAATTTGTCTGGTGTTTCAAGTGCCACTCTCCCTGGCATGAAGGCGTTAACTGCAAAGAATACAAGAAGGGAGACAAGCTTTTGCGTCACTGGGCCAATGAGATTGAACACGGGCAGAGGAATGCCCAGAAGTGTCCAAAATGCAAGGTGAGCTGCTCTCCCGTGGCTTGCAGGTAGTGGCTTCAGTCCTTTTAAATATGCAGATATTTGTAGCTTCTGCTCAGCATTGGAAATGGAATACATGCTTGCTGTGTAGATTCTTGTCAATGACACATTGAGAAAAACAGATCATAAGTTTTACTTGCTGGTTCCTGCACTGATTCTGCAGAATCTCTGCATGAAAAGAAACATGGAAATCATAAGAGGGGGGCTGTCAGGTTTTCCAGAGAGATTGGGTGAATTCAGTTTCTGAGTAAGGCAGAAGGTAGTCTATCAACAAGTTAAAGCCTCCCCCCCGTAGTTAAGATTTGGCAAAACCACAAGTTTTTTACGATTAAATGTCAGTTCTTCACAGCCCTTTCTCAGGATGTAGTTTAATTTTCAACACTGAAGTGCAGTCCCCCACCCTAAAAACATCATTAATCACTTTCGGGGTAGGAAATATTTCCTGCTGCTCAAATGAGATGCAACAGTCCTGCACACCTCTGCCCCAGCTGCCCTTAATTAAGGTGGCCATTCTGTTTGTTCACTGTTTTTTTTTTCACAGCACTTATCTCCAGCTACTAACAGAGTAGTAAGTCAAAACCTTGAGAGTGCCATGGTGGTGGGAGACTTTTTTTTGAAAGGGAGTACCTAATCTGAACCTATCTATGGCTCTACATCTACCTCATGAAGAGGACAAAGTAAGGAAACTGGAGCATTTGGTAGGAAATAAATGTTGAATGGGAAGATATACTTCTAAATGCCCACGTATACTTCTAAATGCTTTTATCACACTTTGAGCCTTACTCTGGGCAAATAAGGGGATGTTTATTGGTTTACTAAGTTTCTTATTTTGGTCTTGGGAAAAGAAATGCCTGTGATGCCATAGCTTGAAATTGAAAGATTTCAAAACACTAAGAAAAATTCAAAGAGCTCTGAAATCAGCAGTTGGTTGTTTACTCTTCCTCCTGCATGCGCATGACATTTGAACAGAGTTTTAACAGCTTGCTCTTTGGTAAGAGTTGATAGGTTTGAGCCAATTCTAAAAATGTTCACTTTCTGGGAAGTTTTACAGTAAAATCCTTTCACAAACTTTGTTCCTTTTGGAGTGGGAAGAAGTATCTGTTTAGTTTTTAATTATTTGACTTCTGTCCAGATTCAGATTTTATGACAATGCAAATGATGCAACTATTAAAATAAGTCGTCCAAAAAAAAAGAAAATGCACAAAGCAAAAAAGTATGAATGTGGAAAAGCAGCGGAAGTGGGCTGGTAGCTGGAAAGAGAAAGAAACTAAAACTACAAAGCCTAATGTGTTTACCCTTAAGAAGTTTTAAATTGAAAAAGCCAAATGTACAACTGTTTTCACCATCTTCAAAATAAAAGGCTGAATGCTTGAAACTTAGGCAGGTTAAGTCACAACTTTTGAAGCCTGAAGTTGTATGAGTTTGGCTTTTCATTCCAAAAAGACTTTGTTTCTTTTCTTAATCAAAAGAAAATAAAACTTCCAGGAGGCAGTATGGAAAGTTATGAAACTAGCACAGAAAAAGAACCTTTGTTAACAAGTCCTTTCTGGTAATGTAGTTTATAAGTGAATATTGAAGGAAGAGTTTGACCTTTTCATAAACTGTATTGCTACCCCCCACTACTGGTATTTTTAATTCAGAGGTGAAAAAAATTCTTCCTGCCTATAGCCTCCAAAATGTTTATATCAACACATTGTTTGTTTTTAAATCAAATCTATAACTAGCAAGTAATCAAAAGAACCACTTAGAAGTGGTTACTGTTCTCTTTCTTTCTTCTTTCTTAATTTGTTATGAAGTAGTTATAACAAGTACTTCTTATGCAACATTCTTCATCAAAACATTAATAGGTGTCTGGACACATGGGGGTAAACATACCAACAAACAGTTAACAACTGTAAGTCAGGAGGATCGCAGCTAATGCTTTCTCTGCCTCTCTCTCTCCTGCTACCCTGCCAAACCTCTGTATAAAATAACATTAAATCAGATGACTACCCTATTTTCCAATAAAATAGAGAAAGGAGTGACAAAGAAAGCAGAGTTGGTAACATACTATTTGATTTATCCTTCTGGATCAACATAGGCAATGTTTCAGGTGACAACATTTTATTTTGATATGTGCATATATTCTATTTAAAGAACCTCTTTCATGTTTTGGTTACAAATTTGCAGCAATCAAAATTGGCAAGCAGATTGAGGAAAAGTCAAGATTAAATTGTGTCAAGATATTAGTCTTCAATCTTTACACTAAAACTAAAGCTAAGAGAAATTAAAGGTAGAAACTTCAGTAGGGGTAGAATTTCATTACTGAGATAACTTGTAAAATTACTGGTGACTTCCAAAGTGTGACACTGATTACAATGTAAACTGTGACCATACTTCATGTATATCTTCTGGAGATAATTATATATACACACAGACTGTGTTTCTTTAAGTAGCGATACCATAGAGATGTAGAATGCACAATTATCTTGTCTGGGCGTGCAGGCGAGAAAACGGGAACACTCTTATCCTGCGTGTATATATAGGCAGATCCTTAGGCAAGTATTCACAGGTTTTTCAGTGGTTTTGGTAAGTGCTTTGAAAGAACATAATCATTTGTAATGTGAATACTAGTGGCACTGTTAAATAAGCTTAAACTTCATTACTTTTTCCTGTACATGGACACATCTTTAGTGCATCTAATAGAAATAGCTTATATTTACCTGGTCTCTCTAAGATATGCTTACATAAGCAAATAAAAATGCTACATGCTGTCAAAATACAGAACTGTAGATTCATTTTGTGAATATATATCAGTATGGAAATATTACAAAATGCTACTTTTAAAAAATCATATCTTAAATTAATTTTGATGTATTTTTTGTTTTTAGTAGAGCCTTTTCCAAATCTTTTATACACTTTTTTAAAGAAACTCAGCATAGACTATTTTTCTTAACAAGACTTGTCCAAAAAGTGCTTGTCTTGTTCTAGAGGGAGCTGACTAATTAGTGCAAATTTGCTACATGTTGTTAGATGCCTCTTCATAAAACCTATAACCTTATTTGTCTTTCCCCATGACTGTTTTAGGTTTTTGTTTTTTACAATTTCTTGCGACAACATGTTGGCAGCAAAATGCCTTTTTTCCACAAGTGTTTTTTCAGTACAGCAAACCAAGGAAGTACTTCATGTTGATGTTACCTTACCATAGATTTCAAAAACAACACTGCCTGAGGAAACAATAGTGGCTCTAGCTTTGAAAGCTTTGAGCAGAAGCAAAAACTGAAGCTAAGAAGGATGTCAATGCAAATCAAGAGTATATGCTTCTCATCTGTGGGTTCACTGTTCTGAATAATATGAGCATTATCAAATAACATGGGGCATAGTTTTTGATGGTGCTCTGCAAATTATTTCTCATCCTCTGGAGCAAGGAGAGTCCTTGCCTGTATATGAAGGGATAAGGCTGTGCACCAGGTTTTCTTTAGGAGTGGAGAAGAAATGGCCACTCTTATCCTCAGATCTCTTGGAAGTGGTTTTCTGGGAAGATTTCTGTGAGAGGGTAAAGTAAGGGTGTGAAATAGCCAGTGTGCTACTTCAGTTGTTTCCTTAAGACTCTGAGCTCTGTGTGCTTTACTGTTGGTGTGTAAATTTGACCCCTCTTGTTCTGGGAGCCATTCTTGGGTTTCTGAGTGACTAAACCTTTCCCTGTAAGGTGAGGGTATATCTCTGGGTTGGAGAAGGCTCTGGGCACAGAATGAAGATAATAAACACTGACGGAATGCCTGGAGGCAGAAAGTGGGCTTACAGTCATCATACATCATGCCTCCTTCTCCCTGCCGTGCTGCTGGGGAGCCTGCAGTAACAAGGCACCAAACCCTGCACGGCCACAGCTAACTATAGCAAGCCTCATTCCCGGCCCCGTGCATCCCCCCAGCTGCTTGCTGCGTGCTGTGGTTTTGCCAACGGAGCAGGAACACTTGTGTGATATCTGACCCATTGGTGATCGCTTTCCCAACCTATAGATTTGTAATCCATCTCTGTCAGTGGATTATCCTGAGGGGAGGAAGGCATGTCCATGTGAACCAGAGCTGAAGTTGATGTGGTGAGATGTCATGTCTTAGAATGGAAAGCAGCCTGACTGAATCATACAAAGCCCATCTGGCATTGTCTGTCTGTGTGGGTATGATAGGGAGTCCAAGCCCTGCATCTAAGGATTTGTATTTATTTATTTTTAATGAATGCTCTCCTCACTAAAATAAAGTGTTTTACAAAAAAAAAAAAAAAAACTAGAGGCAGCTACAACCAGTTTTTCCAAATTTGCAGCTTTTGAAGACAGTTATGTATGTGGAGATAAGTATTTGCTAAACATTTTTTAATACTTTACTTTTTGAAGAAGCAAAGATGAAGTACATGTAGTTGCAGTGTGTGTCTGTGAGAAAATAAATCCTGTATCAACTTTGTTTTAAGAGGACAGTATGTCTGGAGGATTTAGAGCAGAAACAATTAGATTTAGGAGTGACCGGAGCGGTGCCTGCATAACTCGATCTGGGGCGCTTCTAGGAAGGTGTGGGTAGAAAGATGGCATGCAGTGTCTGAGAAGTGGGTAGTTCTGAAAGGTATTGAGGGTAGAACATGTAAAGCTATTGCCAGCAGCTCCTTGAAGTTCTTACTACCAAAAAAAAATTAATTTATTTTTGAAATATGAAGTAGTTTTGGTTTGCATCCAGAATTTTTATAGGCTCCAGGCTTGTACAGATTTTTAATTAGGATATGTGGTAACTTAGTAGATTGGGTTGGAAAGTTGCAGAAGAGAAGAGTTCAACAGTCTTAATTCAAAATGAAAAAGAAAACAACCAGTTAATTCTTGTTAGTCTCATAAGATCTCCTTCCCTCATTTACGTTGTTTAGATAGAGATATGTCACTGAATCAGCAGATAAGGAAAGGTACCTCTAAAATGAATAATTTCTATGTAGGTGCTGTCTGAATTTCAATCCCCTGAAAAACTAATCGGAATTAAATTTTAAAGTTAATTTGTTAAAATACATTAAGTCCTTACTAAAATTTCTTAATTTCATATTAAATTAATCACTTAAGAATTAAATTAGGTAAACTATGGCTTCATGCGTAGGGTCAACTTTTCTTCATATAAAACCTGAAAAGTAAAAGCAAAGGTCAAACTGACAGTATCCCTTGTAGAAGAAAATAGTGTATAACTTCAGAAGTTATGCTTGAGTTGGTACACTATTGGGTGGACTTCTCTTTCCACTTAGCTTGCAGTTAAATGCTTAATGGGAAAGTTTTGAAGTCAGGTGCCTTATAAAACTCATCAGCAATGTTATTTTTTGGTGCTTCTGGAAAACAGGGCACCTGTGATACAGGTGAGGGAATAACATGGATGAACTTGCAGGCTTCCTCGGGGTAGAGGGGCATAGCTGCTTGGACAGTCTAGTGGCATCCCTTCTATGGAATGAACGCAAGCCCAATAGAATACTTGCTCACTATAAAGTAATATTTTATAGCCCAATCCTCTCTTTTGTGAATGTCTGTCTCCTCTTTTGTGCAAAAGGAGCATTTGAAAGTGTAGCAATATGAATACTGTTGGCACAGGGATGTTGGCAGGTGTACTGTTAACTGCATCTGCCCTGAGATCTTTTACCGGAAGTATTGCTGGTGGAAAACATCACTTTGTTACATGTATAAAGTGCCAGTTTCAGTAGCTGTTTCAGGTGAGCAAGATTTCTCAGATCCCAACTGAACCACGATCAGCACCCTCTCTGTCAGACACCCCAGGAGTCATAATTATCTCTTGAGGCAAGAGGCTTCAGTTGTACCTGAGCTTTCAGCATCTCTGGTGCTTGCAGGGCCACTGAGTGGCGATGTCCTTGTCTTTATTTGTACCTCCCTACAAAATAAATACATGTAGATATGAAGTTCAGGAGGCATTCATTCATCAGAAGTTTCAACAAGTAAAATTCCAACTGGATGTAAGGGAAAAACCATTCCCAGAGAGGGTGGTGAAGCATGGGACAGGTTGCTCAAAGAGACTGTGACCTACCCATACTTGGAGATTTTTAAAATCTAGTGGGATGAGGCCTGGAGCAATCTGATCTGACTTTGAAGTTAGCCCAGTTTGGGGCTAGGAGTTAAAATAGATGACCTCTGAGGATCACTCCAGCCTCAATTATAAGGTAACTTTATCTGCTGTTCCATTGCAAAGCATGGTCTCAGAACCGGGGGGGTCTTTAGCAATTTTGTGAGCTAACAAAATGTGTGTTTGCCACCCCATTAGCTGTAATTTTAGTTGGCAAGATTTAGAAGTAGCTGTGTAATCATAGTTGATTTAGTGAAATACTCAGCCCCAGGACTACCCTCTCTCCTAATACTGTCGGAACTATAAACTAAAACTGAAGCCTCACAAAATTGTGCAAAGTAGGTAAATGAACCAGTTTAGTGGAAAAGTACATAGATACAGGTATCGAGTTTTTTCAATCAGGTGAACAGCAGAAAGATGGATGTAGAACCTAGGCAGTCCAGCTTGATGCTGTACTGTGGCCATTATGAAAGCTTGACATAATTCTTTTATACTGTTGGTGAAATCTTTTTTTTACCAAAAAAAAAAAAAATCCCTTTTCAAATCATTCACTTTTAACAGCAGAGCCTTTCTGGTGTTTATTACAAAATGCCAAATCAATTTGTGATGGTAATAGGAAAGGGAGTGGGGCCACAGGTGGCATAAGAGGGAAACCCATCTGTGGAGGGGTCAAATGGAGTTCATAACTATATTTACTGTGCTGCTTTTATATTTAATAAAGTTTGGTGTTAATGTGTCTCCTTCAGTACATATGACACAAAGAGCATTTAAAGAAGGAGAATTATTTAGGAAGGCATTACTTAAGTGGAAATAATTGTAACTCATGTTTGATGCCCTAAAACATGTATTGGTAAGCCATTATTGTCTTAGGACGGCTGCAGGATTGATTAATACAAATGCCTGGTTAAGCAGGGGGGTTGCTTGCAGTGTCTTTTCATCTGACTCATGAACTGCATGGGGTAGTGCCTACTTTCCTGTGGTTAGGGAGGGGAAAAAAATTTTTTTTTTCTTCTGCTCCCACAGATCCACATCCAGAGAACAGAAGGGTGTGACCACATGACCTGTTCCCAGTGTAACACTAATTTCTGTTACCGTTGTGGGGAGAGATACCGCCAGCTCCGGTTCTTTGGAGACCACACGTCAAACCTCAGTATCTTTGGATGCAAATACCGCTACCTCCCCGAGAGACCACATTTACGGAGATTAGTGCGAGGCTCTGTCTGTGGTGAGTGGATAAATATTCCTTGTGGAGAGCTACACAATGAGGTGATTGGGGGTGGGAGGAGTGTCAATAATAGTGAAATAAAAGCTATTGGTTTGAAGTATCAGATGGGCAGCCTGTTGTTTAGTTATGTAAAAGGTGGTTTAGTAAATATATTTAAATACATTTGTACTCCCTTTTTCAGTGGACTGTGTATGAATAAGTATCGTGTCCTATTCTGATACCTTCTGTTTCCCAACCTTGTTTAAGTAAGCAAACTGGAAAAATGCATGTTGCTGGCTGTGATCGTTACTCTAAAAGCATATAGGAGAAGTGGATCAGGGCAGGAACCTTTTTTAAATGAACCTCTGTCAAGGATTCATTTGGATAAAGTGTTGTTCGGATTTGAACCTGACCGGCTTCAACCAAACTATTCTAGTTTGTCCGTTTAAATAGGAGGACACATATCTTTTTAAATGTTAGCTTTGGTTCAGATAAAATCCAGTTTAAAACAAAATGTAACTATATATGTTCATTTCTCTCACAGGAATATAATGCCAAAAGCTTGACTTTTTAATTTTTTTTTTAAAGGCACTCCTAATTTGCTTTTGAACCTATAGAACCTATACAGAAGCATAGGAAAAAAAAAGTAGATTATTACTACCTTATGTGGTATCATACATATGCGTTAACTTCATTGTAGTGAGTTTGCAGCATATAAAGATATCTATAACATAGGATACGTTTGTATTAGGTCTTGAAAACTGGGGACCTATTAAGGAAAATAGGACCTTTTGTACTTTGAATTAAGGCATAGAAATTGGAGATGATTTGGAATTCACCTAGGATGCGGAAATGCTTTGATCTTATCAATTGGAGGTGTTGAATGTAGAGGCAAAGGTAAGAGACTGAACGTGTGGAAGCAGCAGTCAGCAGACCTGCAGTGAAAACAATACTCCTGAGCCAAACGTGTTGCAGTAAGAAAACTAGGTGATTTCCATTTTAGAGTAACACAAGAGTTGGCACACAGACTCATAGGCCTGGTAGTAAGAATTATTGGCTGATCTGCAAAGTTGTGGCGGACTGACAAACCTGGAAGGCTTGTTTAACAAATGACAACAAGTCATCCAGGCCCATTAGTTTGGCCTCGGGAACTTGCAAGGCTTTAGAACAAACTTTGAGAGGTGAATTAAAGATACAGAAATGAATGAGAGTGGATAACAATTCAAAACAACTGAATGTGCCTGCTCTGATACATTTTGTAGGGATAAATTCCAACACATGAGAAGATCTAGCCTAGATTAAAGACTGTGCTGGCACTAGGGCAGATGGGTATAAACTGCTAATGAATAAATTTAAGCTTAAAATTCAAGGTCTGTTTCAAAGCACTTATTAAGGTTTTAGAAGAGCTTTCAGTATCCTTCATGAATTTATACAGTTCTTAAATGACTTATGGTTTTGGTTTCCCCTAATCCCTGACACAGGTTGTAGGATTTCACTATGCATTGTGTTGAGAAAGTACTTTCATCCTTCTGTTATGTGTTTGTGTGATTTGTTTTGGTTTTTTATAATAGATTGCTGATCATTTCATTGGTTCTTTTATCATGAAATTAATCATTATCTTGGCTGTCAGTGGGAGACTGGTGAGCTAGATACATTTTCTTGTGTGACTTTTTATTTCATTCTCTTGCTATGGAGAGGAAATACGTATTTAAGCAAACATGGTGATTTTGTAGCCTTTGTAGTGAAGGTTCTTCGGTTTCTATGAAATCTGGGTGAGTGGAGTGTGCAGAAAGGAAAGAACACTTCATGGCAGGCTATCATGGTTTCTGTTGAGAAGCAAATGTTAGTGCCTACAATCACAAAGTGTTCTGTAATAAAAATAAGGGGAAAGCATTTGTGGCAGCGTAATCTTAAACATACTTTTCTTCAGAAACCGTGGTTTTGTAGAGGTAATAGAAATCGTAGAAAGAAGAAAATAAACTGGGAGCAGAAATGGTCTCTGGATGTGATGGCATTTCTCTCCTCTCCTTAGCCAGCATATTTTTTACAGAAACTTTGTCCTGTGACCAGTACAGTAAGGTGAAACTGCTTTTATCCTTCAGTCCCAGTGGACTTAGCGATTTCATTGTTATAGTAATTATTTGGCTAAGTTGTTGAAGGCAGGATGTTTGGTGATAACTGGAGTGAGAACTATATTCAAAATAATTTGCTAAGAACTTCATGGATATGTAACAGGACACAACATGTGCAGGGTCCTGCAATTGGGTTAGGACAGCTGGGCAACCCCCAGTATCAATGCATGCTGGGGGATGAAGGGATTGAGAGCAGCCCTGTGGAGGATGACAGCTTGGGGGTACTGGTTGATGATAAGCTGGACATGACCTAGCAGTGTGTGCTCACAGCACAGAAATCCAGCCATGTCCGGGGCTGCATCAAAAGAAGCGTGCCCAGCAGGTCAAGGGAGGTGATTTCCCCCCCCGCCCCCCCCCACTCTCGTGAGACCCCACCTGGAGCACTGCATCCAGCTGTGGGGCCCCCAACATAAGAAGGACATGCTCCTGTTGGAGTGAGTCCAGAGGAGGGCCACGAAGATGATCAGAGGGCTGGAGCACCTCCTGTAAGAGGACAGGCTGAGAGAGTTGGTGTTGTTCAGCCTGGAGAAGAGAAGGCTCTGGGGGGACCCTATAGCAGCCTCCCAGTACTTAAAGGGGGCCTACAGGAGGGATGGGGAGGGACTCTTATCAGTGACAGGATAAGAGGTAATGGTTTTAAGATGAAAGAGGGTAGATTTAGATTAGATACTAGGAAGGCATTTTTTACTGTGAGGGTGGTGAGGCACTGGAACAGGTTGCCCAGGGAAGCTGTGGATGCCCCATCCCTGGAGGTGTTCAGGGCCAGGCTGGATGAGATTTTGAGCAACCTGGTCTAGTGGAGGGTGTCCCATTGGACTAGATGACCTTTAAAGGTCCCTTCCGAACGAAACTATTCTATGATTCTGTGTAATAATGCAATTCAATCAAATGAAGCTTTTTGCATGGTAGACAGCATTTCAAAGATGATTCTGAAAGCAGCATGTTTTCAGATCTGAATGACCTGTACTTCTGTCCCAAGACAGAGTGCAGGATTCACTTGATGTATGCATGGCTTTGAGCACTACAAAGGGAAGCATGCATTTCTAGGATCCAACCTTCATTAGCAATTTTATAATTTAAGTCAGTCTGATTTGTAAGAAGTCGCCTATATACATTTGATAGAACCCTTTAAACAGATGCAAACTTGTATTAGAACTTAAATCTGTTTGTAAGTAGATACTTTTACTGGCCCTCCTGCTTAAACTTGGAAGACAAAACTTTTTATTTCTCATATGCTAGTGATTAAATTTTTTATCTAGAACTAATATTAATTTTTTACATGACAAAGAATTCTCTAAGGATTTATGGGATTTTGTATTACCCTAAAAACCACAACCAAACCCAAAGTTTTACAAGGGAAAAAATATTCCCTTGTGTTGCCCTAAATGTTTCATCCTTTTGCAGAAAAAAATCATTTTTTTAATCGCAAGTAATGCAACCCCTCTGAGGCATCTGCAAATACAGTTGCTGCGTTACTACAGATAGCTAAATCTTTGTGCTTAGTAACCCAGTAGAGAAATTGTTTACTATTAATTTGAGCAGAATTGTGAAAAGGTTCCCTTTTTAGGCTTGTTCTATTTACAACCGTTTCTTTAAGTTTTCTTTAAAAACCAGCTTTGAACATGACCTGTTCATGGCTATTGTAACCTACTGATGAGTTCACCACATGGACTAATGACCCAAGATTTTATTCAGCTCTGAGGCAAGTTTTACATTTGCTTTCTCTGCTAGCAGTCTCGAGCTAACAGACATAGAACAGTTGATCTTCAGGAAATTCAGTGTCTGCAATAAACATCCTTAGTCTCAGCAACACTCCTTGGTGTCTCATGATGCCCTCTGTGATTAAAAGCCTCATAATACTTCACGCTATGACAAACAATGTGTATCAAACTGGAATTGGGTATAAAGTTATGTCCAATTCAGATTTGTAAAATGGAGCGTTTGATAATTGTTTTATACAATGCTGATAAAAATTGAGTAAAAGGTACATATCTGCTGCTTTGCAGTGGTTGTTGCTGTCTGTACTCTTACCTGATAGTAACTTGTGCAAATTGTGTTCAACTCATGTTAACTTGCTCCTTAATTTTAGTTTACAAAGGTAAAGAAAGATAAAGGAGTTAAATGTGGTAGATATATAAGGAGAAGAGTTATTTTGTTTTGTTTTTAAAGTTTAATGTTTAGAAGGAATGCATTGCTAACCAAAGGAAGGTATTGTTCCATGATGATGAAAGGTCATTTTATCCTTTAAGTTCAAATTCACAGGCAAAAAGAAAAAGACACTTGCATGTGCTTTATTTCAGCTCCTGAGTAAGTTTGTCAAATGTAAGTAAGCAAGTTCTTAAACTGAATTAGCTTTGGAACAGTTCTTTGTGTCTGCAAAGAAATTACTCCAGTCAAAAGCTAGCTTAGCCCTTACTGCAAACTCTGTTCCTGTGTACTTAGTCATCAGTTCAGTGGTTTAAGTTTTTAATAATTTTGGTACCAATAATTGGTACATAATAATTTTCTAACATTCTAATTACATGTTTATTAATAAAGTAAAGAGTTCATATGCTAACACTATCTTTTATAAGCTCTACTTTGAAATTATTAAAGGCTCTGGTAATGTTTTTAATGTTTTTAATTGCTAACTTTTGGAGTTTTCTTGAGGTTTTCCATCGCTCTACATTTCTTCTCCCATCTACACTTGAATAATTTATTTGACAACCTCTTTGTGTATAGAATGCAACACAGTGGAGTCCCAAGAAGGTCTACTATTAGGATGCCTAGCAACTAGAGTAATACCAATAATATTTGTGATTTTTTTTTTTTTCTTCTAGGAATTAATGTTTCCCACCCACAACACTGCTATGAAATTTAAAAGCTATCAAAACAGAGTGAAAAGGGCCAATTCATTTAACTGCTGTAAATATTTCCAAAAGATCTCATTTTTCCTTCAAACTTCCCAAATTAGTAGCACAGGTTATGGAGAGGTTTACATCACTGTTGAATGAAGTAATCCATTTACTGCAATCTGATACAAGTGACTTGAGAGCAGGAAGGGCAGGGAGGAGAGAGGTAACAAACTCACTTTTCTTCCCTTTCTAGAGTTGATCTTTCAAACACATGCTTAACTTAGAGGATTGCTTAATTTCAAATCCCTGATCAAACTGCTGGTGCATAGGTAAAAATGCCTGCCTTGGTGTTTTTTCAAATAGCTGAGACAAGTGACATTTTTGATCCAGGCGCTCAGCCAGCATAGCGAGGAAAGTTCTGCCATTCAGTTGAAAGCATGCAACGCAAGAAAGATAACTTGAATTCAAAGTACAGTTTTAATTGTTTCGGAAGGAGCCCTGCCTTCTTTCTGTGCACCTTTATAGTAAAGAATATGAGCACATTTTATTCATTATTGGTGTCTTATGCTCTAGCTGGTGTGCTGCACAGCCTCGCTGCCTTATTCATGTAAGAGCAGCAACATATCCTTTTAAATGTTGATCAGAAATAGACTTGGCTGTGGTTTGATTTGGACCTAAAATCACAACAGTACACAAGGACTTCACCATAGCCTTTTAAAGCAAGCAGAAGCGTATTTAGAAGTGATTCTCTCATCACCTTGAGCTAACCTAAACTCTCCAAGATGCTGGTTTGCTTGGCACCTTTCCAGGGTGGTTGCTGTACAGTAGGATTCCAGAGAAGCCAAATGATAGTAGCTTTATAGCTATCACATTCCTGTCAATGCCTGAGGGATTTCAGAATGGAAACAGAAGTAAATGCAAGCTGTAAGTGTTAATGTACAAAATGAGCTGTGCTCGAGGAATTGTGGTGGGTGAGGAGGGCAAAGAGAAATGTGTGCAGGGAGCTGTCTGAGTGGTGATAACCCCTAGCTGGATTTGTAGGATGAATTTACAAATAGGAATCCTGGTAAAGTATTAAAAAAAAACCACACCTTTTGAGAATCTGATATTGGAATACTTACAAATGGTTGGAAAGGGAAAAATAAAATGCCTACTTTGAATTGTTTAATGAATTTTACATTTCAGCTGGAAAACTACTCATCACACCCCTAATACTTGTTCTGGGACTGGCACTGGGAGCCATAGCTGTTGTAATAGGTAAGAGTTGCATATTTGAGTGAGTCTGATTTTTTTGCATTGACTTTCTGTGTGACATCTCAGTATATTCATCTCAAAGAGATGGACACAAAGTACAAATTTCACAGACAGTTTTTTGATATAAAGGATATGATTTCTGAAAAAATTGTCTTTAGAATTTTTTCTTCCATTTTATGCCAATTAGCTTTATTATTTTTTCCCAATTATTTGGTTATTAAGGCTTTTCTGAACCAAAATCTTCAGTATAGTTAAACTAGGAAAGGGCCTGAGTAATTTAAACATAGTCCCATTAATCAGCCCAGTGGATCACAATTCTAAGATCTTGGCCGTGTGCATGACAAGATTTTTGAGGCACTAGGCACAGTCCCAAGGGCCCTCTGGCTTGAAGATGCAACAACAACAAAGCAGGAAATAGGGATGAGTCGATCTCAAAATCTGATTCAGTGCATAGGCTACCAAATTGGATTCAATCACAAAAAATGGTACTGTGGTCTCATTTGGTATAGTATCAAAGCTCTGTTAATATGGCTGTATAACTGTGGATGTAGCTACACTAGCAAGTCTGCTCTTTGCCCAGCTTAACTGAATTATCCCACAAAAATTAAATAAGCCATAACAAAAAATGTGTAGTATGCACTCATGTAAGTGCGTATCCTCTATTTATGTTGGCAGTAATATGTCAGTTGCGGATCATGCTGCTTCAAAACTCTTCACAAAAGTACTTATTCCATTGAAAATTTGCAGTGTATGCCCAGCCCTGAGACACGTTGGGACGTGGCACTGTTCTTTTAATACAATAAAGCCAAAATATACCAGGATTAATAAAATTGTATGTAACCAGTCAGCACATAACCAAAATATTATTACAGCTTTTCTTGACTACATCTAGCCAAATAAGGAATATTGCTATTAATTTCAGTATTCAGGCTTTTTCCTGTATCAGTATTCTGAGCTGGAGTCACTGAAGAGATATATATATCTCTCTCTATAGCTATATTCTTTTTAGTGGTGTTTTAATGCCAAAAATATAGGCAATAAAGACTTAATGCCAGTAAAGCTTATTTTGCTCAGCAATCTGGTATAATTTATGCTGGGAAAAAACACTCATTTGCTTATATTAAAAATTGAGAGGGTTTTGCAATAATGCAACAGCAATAATAGTGGTAATACCCAGTATGCCACTGAACTCCCATCCTTGGTATGGCTGGGTAAGACACAATCAAGAGTAGCAGTATGAACAGTTCCAAAAACATTCATTATTTAAAGGAAAGTTTTGGTTTTGAGGTAATTACAGCAATATTTTACTGCCAGTACAACTGTTAAAGTAATCTCAGTGTTGTAGCCAAAAGCCATTTTTATGCCATTTCCAAGGCTGTTGGGCAAAGCAAGGACCCTGGTGACTGCAGTAAGTCTTTTGTTATCTGTTGTTACTGTAGTGGTGTCTGAAAAGGAATGCTTTTCCCATTTCGGTCAGCTGGTGGCAAGAGAAGGGGGGAGATGCTTCTTATTTGGGTTTGAAAGACTACCTGTTATGACAAACTATTTTTCACTTGAATAAATCTGATTTATTTTTCCTTTTACAGCTTCCTTTCTCTCAAAGGCTTTTAAGAATAAATAGTTCTCTGCACAGGCAAGGATAAACATTTGGAATTACCTCACAATAGATGAGGATGTTTGTAAAATTACATAATTTTTTTTTTAAGAAAGTAAAGCTATAACATTCTGTCTCTATGGCATGTGAAGCTGGTTGAAAGCTAGTTTAGTTTAAATCAGCCTTGGTTTTAGATCTAAGGATTGCCAAAGTGCTTTGAAAAGGTTTAAGTTTGTATGTTATACAAAACAGCATGGTTCAGGAGCTAATTTGTCAAAGATGGGAGTAAGGTCAGTGGGAATTTGTTGTAAAGTAAGCACAAAGTGTAGCTTAACTTGTTACCGAACAGACTGTTGCAGGCAATTATTTTTTCTGTTTGCCCAAATGCCTTGTCTAAATTCTCTTGAAACATGGAAAGTTTCATCTGAACAATCTACGTGCATTGAAAGAACACAATGCATGCACAAACGACTGGATTTAATTATGGTTTTCTTCTTTTGGCAGGTTTATTTGTGTTTCCTATCTATTGCCTTTGTAAAAAGCAGAGGAAAAGGTCACGGACAGGTATGCCCTGGTAAGGATGGACCTTACTCACGTGAACTGAGCTGGTCCCGCAAGGGCTATACGCGCTTTGTGCAACAGAGCAATACAGTGCTGGTAACAGCATCAAAGCCACCGCCCTGGAAGAAGAATAGGGGATCTCCTGCCATCTTCCCTCAGCCGAAAACACTACTGCAGACCAGAAGGCCTCATTGCTCTGCTGCACTCTGAACAAGATGGGCCCCCTGACTGCTGCTTTTTAAATGTTTTGGGGTTTTGTTTTTTTTTAATTATTACTTTGGGGAGTTTTTTTGAGTCTAAGTTTCTGAACTAGACAATCAAAGTCTGTATTGTAGCCACAACTCTACTACCGATTTGGCCTGTGAAGAAAGCATTTAACTGCTAACATGTGCTCCGTTTAACTTCAGTGTTGGCCTTTAAGGGGGAAATGCTTAGAAGTGTTTGGACTCTCACTGTATACTGAGCATACTACTTTTGGTATTAAAAACTACTTCTGTAAATAACTTCCATCACACAGCATTCTGTTCAGCATACCGAAACCCCATCACATGCCAGAGCTCGACAGCTGGTTATCTTCCGAGTCGTCCTGCTAGTGGGCAAGAGTGTAGATTGCCCCTGCCAAACTGCAGTGCCTCAGAGGGAAATATCCTTAGTACTGAAACTCCATGATACTTGCAAATATGCTGATTGGTTTCACTTCAGTATTTAATTTATGACAATCTATTAATATTGATTGAGGGGGTGGCAGATTTGTTAGAAGAGTACAGCATTTTGAAACTTTCCCAGTACAGAAAAAATTTGAAGGGTTTAGATAACAAGAAGTGTCTGGTGGCCTGTTCTGTCCCAGGATATCCCTGAAGTGCATTTGCAGGGAAGCTGGGAACCTGCTCTTCTGTTCTGACTTGGCATATAATACACTTGCTACACACTAGTTATGTGAAGATTGGCTTTATGAAATTTTACAGCCTAAATAGCACATTTTGTTTGGTTTTTTTTTTGTTTTAAGTAGGCTACATAAGTCTTGGAGCATTCACTGATGTCTCATGAGGAAAATCTGAATTTTGGCTAAGGGGAGTGGTCATGATTTCTTAGCAAACCATTTCTTTCTTTTTTTCTCTGCTTCCAGTGTTTCTGTTGCTGGCGTGTTACAGATCTGAAGAGAATAGCTATCCTTGCTCTTTCTTCCTAACTTCAGAGTACCACTGTTTGCTCCCAGAGGTCTTTCTCAGCACATCGCCACAAGAGCAATGTAATTCAGCATTAGGAATCAGCTACTTGAGAATTTTTTTTTTCATTATAATCAAAATTTTTCATACAAATATAACTTAAAAGAAAAAATAGAATAAAATAAATTTGTGTAAGCAGAACACTGAAAAAATAAAGAAAGGAACTGAATAAGAGAAATATACTTTAAAAATACAAGCTGATCTTAAAAGATTGGATTTGTACTGTGAAGGTACTTTTTTTTTTAGTGTGTGTTTGAAAATACCTTTAGGGAAAGGGAGAAGCAGGGAGATGGGCAATGTCCAAAAGAGTCTACAAGCTTCAAAATTTAGGCCCACAAATAGCATACCATTTGAGAGGATGTACTTTGCACCACTTTCTTTGAAAATTGTTATTGAATCCAAATCTAGTTTTAATTCTTCAGTAAATGGTATTCTTCCCCACCAACATAATACTCTTATAAGATACTCACTTTGACTTCAAAGCTGCAGTGGAAGAAACTGATTAATTTTGTTTACCTGGAAACACAAATATCAGCATACCATAGTTAGCTAGTATGCTTGTTTTCTGTCAGCTTCTGGTTTTGTTTTCTTGGTTCTTTTTCCTGTTGAAACAGTGTGTACAGGCACACTATAGTAGTCAACAAGTACTTAATATTTCTGTTTGAATTATAGGGAATGTTGACCCTTTTGTCCTAAGGGTGGAAATAGTACCTTTCTAAGATTTGCAAATTAAGCGGGGAAGCAATGACATTTAGAAGTGAAGTTCAAAGTCTATTGTCAGTGGAAATCCACCTGTTAATTAGATTTATTCATCTGTGACACATCAGTTTTCTATTTGTGTTCTGTCTGAGGTTGGAAGCTGCCTTAAAATTGGTCTTGTTTTTGAGTGTGTTTTCTGAGGCTATACATATCAGTTGTCATTTTGGATTACTCAGGGATTTTTATTCCTTTCTTTAAAATGTCAAATAATGAAGATATTTTTGTATTATTTAGAAAAACCTTCAGACCTCAGAGTGTGAGATATATAGATAGATTTGGGTTTGGAATGAAGTCTGTAATATGGTGTCAAACTGTTCCACTTGAGAATATTTTAGTACTTGAGATCAGCTGTGATTAACTATACAGTGGATTAATTTCCTTTCTTTTCCTGGTTCTTTATAAATATGTGAGATATTCTTACAGTCTTTGTAGCTGTTTTCACTCTGCCATGTTTGCCATTTTTAGTTTGTGATGGGAGTTCAGTAAGATCTGAAATTAAGATGCTAAAGAGCATAAAAGGGAAGATAATAAATCTGCGCTTATTTCTATTCAGAAAGCATGTCATTGTGGGTGGAGGAAAGGAACACACATCTCAGCTCCTACATTATCACTTCATCTAGGCCATTTTTACTTTATTGGAACAGATTAAATCAAAGGGAAATGGTTCTTCATTTTCTACACATGGCAAAACGAGACATCTTTGACCTTGTAGAGATGAGAGTCTAATCTTGCTTTCTCTGTAGAAAAAAAATAGGAATGACAATAATATTTGCTTTTGCTTTTTTGTAGAACAGGAAAAAATTTCAAGAGCCAGGCAGGTAAGGATATGGAAGTATTTTTCCATCCATATAAAAATATCCCCGCTTTAATACAATTTTTCATCAATATTATATAAGATAACCAACTGAAATGTGAAGAATAGTGTAGTATGAAACTTCATTCAATAAAATGTTTGCTTTTAAACAGCTCTCCTCATACCATAGGAAATCTTGTATACATCAGAGTCATGTCATTTGCTTTACAAGCATTAATTTATCAGTTTGAAAGAAATTGAATGAACTTTGTTGTAAGGAAATTCAAGGATGTCTTTATTATGTAAACATGTTTTAGTTTTTGTAACTGTACTCCAAAGAAGCCATCAGACTTTTCAACTCTGTCTTTATTAGCAGAAAGCTTCATCACGCAGCTGAATTAACCTACGAAGGCAGATTTCATGCTACTGTACACTGATAACCAGGATTGCTTTCACCACATTTAATGTTTAAGATTCTTTATCCTTGTGAGAACTTGTTGCTCATTGATATCTTTATCAGAGTAGGAAATGCTTAAATCTATTCTACACTAGCTTTCTATTCCGAGCTTGCCTGGAAATGGAATTGCCCATGTGCTCAGGCCTCCTTGCAAGCATGCAGTAGGAGCTGGTGCTGTGTGTGCCCAGTCCTGCTCCTGCTGGAGAGGGCTGGCTGGACATGCCAGTCTGGAGCAGGCTGATTTCCCTTTTTCCACTAAAAATAATTAGTTGTATTTCATTAATGGGGTCAAGTTTCAGGGCTGCTCGGCCATGACAGTGGCAGGATGATTCTGACTGCTGTAGCTTCTCAGAGCGTAGTTAGGTATATTTGCAGAGCTTATCCAGGAGCTTGTGACTGGACAATGAACAGCATATTCATATCTTTCCAATGTCATTAAAATACAGTGCACTTTGAGTGATTTATTATCTTCCTTTGGGGCAGTGCAAATGTGTAAGTAAGGGGGGATTTTGTTTGGTTTGGATGTTACTAATACTGACTTTATAACTCTTCCCGGTAAGAGTTCTTTTAATTTACACCTATTTATTGGTTTTGAAAGTGTGATCAAAGTGAAGTCTTACTAAAAATATTAATTTGCAGGAACAATTGCAAATTTAACTAGAAGGCATTTTGGATCACTATCAGGTATTCTTCTTAGCCAAGGGGCTTGCTGCTCTTCCAAAGACCGCTTATAGCTTACGTGATGTTAAATGATCTGTACATAGGGCAGTAATTCTGTCAGAGGATACAAATTCTCCAGTGATTTCTCATGCCAGTGAGATCTGAGAAACAATTTCATATTCAATGGCCAAATAGTTTGTGGTGTTTTGTTTCTTGAGCAAACCTTGCATCTTTCATAATTCTTGGTATGAAAATTGTGTAGGTCCAAGTTGTGGATAAGAAACATGGATTACTGTTACTTTTATAATCCATATTAGATCTCTGATTTTGCTGATGGAAATAATCCTGCCTAAGGAAACCATTAGAGAGATGACTTCTTAGTTTCTTTTAATTTTGCAGCCTTGTAATTGTAATGGGTCATCTCCGTTCCGGACATCAGTCATAGTCCCATTAAACCAGAGAAGTTGTACCCATTTTTATGCCAGCGCAGAATTTGGCCCCAAATACTTGGATAGAAATATCTGGAAGCATGTTGACAGCCACTGTGCAGCAACTTGCAAATCTTGTTCACTTCTGAAGTGCAAACTACTATGGAGCTGGTCCTCTCACTCACAGAGTGACACTAGTGCTGTATAATAAGTGCAAGAGCGGGCAGGGTGTAGAAAAGAATTTCCAAATGACATTCTTATTAAAGCAAATTGTGAGGGGAAGGAATGCTAGCTTTTAATATAATAGATACCTTCATAATGCTTTGAGTCGCCAATCAAGTTAGAAACAACACCCATATCTTAAATAAGATCTCTTAACATTCTGCTTTCTTCAGTGTAACAGATATTAGCACAGTGTAAGAAATGGAATTACAGCTGTTCAGTATTTTTTGGACTTAACACATAAACTCGAAAAAGAGGGCACACATTTAAAAAGTTCTGTTGTTGTTACATTTGGTGGCTTGTCTTGCTACTGTTACATGAAAAAACAGATGAGCCTTGATTCTACTGCAAGACTCGCATTGTTTTCACCTAAGTAGCGTTCAAGCTATATAACACAACACCCTCAAACATTTTCCTTAATAAAACTAACAAATGCAACTTGTTGCAGTTACACAGGACTGTAGCTTCCTGGCTGATTCTTCCATATCATTCTGGTAAGGGCTCAGGATCTATACATTCTCTCTGGAGTAAGGAACGGAGTGTTCGTATTGGGCAATTAATCATTGTTGCTTCTCTTAGCCTGACAGTGAAATACCGTAAAGTAGGGAAATGAAAACTGATCTTAGAGTGCATGCTCTGATTTCAAAGGTAAAAATGTGTAATAAGCCTTAATTACTTATTCCCTAGTAAAAATAAATACAAAAACTTTAAGCATAATTCCAGCTGTTTATTTCTTAATATATCCCTGTTTTTAAAAAAAATAGTTACAGTAGCAATAACTTTATTTAAAAATGCATACTGTGCAAAAGAAAAGCTTTTGGGAGCTTATTTGGTTTATCAAAACTTCAAAAATCTGAAGTGTTTTGGATCAAAGTCAGAGGAGGAGAAATGTATTGTGTAAAAGTATTTGATATTTTTAGCATAAACATGGCTTTTGCACATACCTGCTTAAACACAG